TTGGTCCAAAGAATTGGTAAGACTTCCATCTTCCAATTTTAGGGATGCAATAGTGTTCTGGGTTTGCCTCTTTTTGACAATAGAATGGAAGTATCTCGTTCCTCTATCCGCTTGAATTATATGAATAGCCTTAGCTTTCTGTTTAAGATACGCTTCCTCGGCTTCTTTAAAAAATAATGCCCTTTTCTTGGCACTAGACATTTCTTCATTTAGGACATCATCGTGAGGAGATAAGAGAGCCAGTTGATAGATTCTCTTATATTCCTTCTTTGATTCCTTGGCCCTAGCCGTGATGTGACTGAACTCGTTCTTGTTGAGTTGTTTAAGGGGCTGTTTGAGTAGTTTCAGTTTTTTAGCAAGTCTAAACTGAGCCGTACCAACAACATTCCTACTCCAAACACTTTCCAAAATGCCATTAAAGTGTTCATGTTTAAGCCACATGTTAAAAAATTTAAAAGGTTTTGTACCATCCCTATTCATGGCCCCCATGGTTACCAGAGATGCAACATGATCAAACTCACACTCCATATCAAAGAAATGAGCTCTACATGTTACATTTTGTGTGGACCAAAAAGAGTTGATAAGCACTCTATCCAACTTAGCCCAAATTGAACCCCTATGCCAAGTGAAGAGTTCACCGGTAGAAGGTGCATCACTAAGATTTGATTGGATTTTCATATCATTGAGATCCTTCATAACATACCCCGAAGGGGGGGCAGACCCACTCCTCTCACTTGGAGACCCCACACAATTAAAATCACCCAGTACAACCCACGGCCCTAATATATTTGTCCCAAGTAGAGAGATATGATCCCAAAGCTCTCTCCTTTCCACAACCGTGTATAATGCATAAACGAAAGTGGTATAGAAAGGTAGTTGTGTAATTCTACACGTAAACCTAGCATGCACATGTTGTCTTTCTACTTGTAAAATAACCCCGTCTATAAAACTAGGATCCCAAATGATAGCAATCCTACCACCACCAATCTTATCAAAATTAGTAATGGACAACCAAGAATTAAATCTAAACTTCATGAAATTGTCAAATGTAGTAGTAGACAGTTTAGTTTCAAGGAGGCAGAATATACGTACCTTATTTACTCTCACAAAATTAACTATTGTGTTTTGTTTTGAGGCTTTATTAAGCCCCCTCACATTCCAAGAAGCTAAAAACATTAAAGATGTTTTGGTTTCCCCCCTCCTTTCCTTGGCAGCCTACTTGTTTCCCTTGTCCTTTGTATCCATTTGCGGTATTCTTCACAACCATCATACCTATCAAGAAAAAGTTGGTAAACCTTAATCATAAAAAGAGATGAGAAAACATACCTTTCATCCGTGTATTGTATGCCCGGAAGAGACTTCAAACATGAGGTAGTAAATGTCAGTCCGTCCCTCCTAAAGTTGTCCTCCACGGCTAGGTAGTTATCCAACCTTGTCATTTCCTCATCTACAAGTTCACCGTGCTTCAAGTGTATTTCACTAGGCCCCTTTTCTTTGAAAACAATTTTTGTAATGACATCATCTCGGAAGACCTCCTTTATGTCATATACAACTCGGTTTTCTCTCCCTTTGTATTTTTTCATGTCCATCACCTTACTTCCATTCCCTCCCGGGTTACCATCCTCATAATACCTATAAAGGTAATGTCTAAGCACACCACTTATGAAGCATGTCGAAAATCCATAGCCATCCTTATTCTTGCTTACTCCTGGTAATCCCTCCAAACAACTTTGGGTGAACCATATTCCGGGATCCGTTTCCTTTACCACCCTAAGGTAGTGGTCCAGCCGAATAATAGGCTCTTTGACATCATCTATGTGTTTGACTTTGAGAGCAGGAGTCATAACCTCATCCGTTACCATTTCACATATGACTTCATCGTCATATGTATCATCGAATGCCCTTATGATTCGTTCGTCCCCTTCCTCCTCATAATAGCTTTGGTTAGTGCTCAAACCTCCATTCTTTCTAGCCTTGTTTCTTTCTCGCTGTTGGTTTTTCTTTTTCAACCTTCTTTTCATTAAAAAAGGGTGTGGATTTTTTTCCCCCTTAGGTGCCTTGCTTGCCACGGCTTTAGGATCTACCTTGGTTGTCTCAGCTTTCCCTGCCTCGGCATTAATCTCAACTGTGGCCAGATCTCCATCCTCAATTTCCACATCATTAGTAAGAAATTTTTCTCCCAATTCCGCAACTTCTTCAATTAGTTTCGGTTGATCCTCCCCTTCTTCCATTGCTTTGATCCTTGCTTCTTTTTCCTTTCTCTCAAGTTCGGCAATAGTCTTGCACGTGAAAGCATGATGCCCATACGTTTTACAATGAAAGCAATAGTTTGGAAAAGTTTCATAGATCACCTTTTGATTATGAAATCTTCCATTAGGCATTTTAATTCTTAGCCGTAGGGGAGGAGGCTTAGAAGCATCCACCTCGATTAGTACCCTTGCAAAGTTGGATCTAGCCTTTTCTTGTGTAACTCGGTCCGTAGTGAGTGGGAGGCCAACCCGAGAGGCAATCTCACTAATAACCTCCTCATCCCACACTTGCATAGGTAAGAAGGGGAACTTTACCCAAATAGGAACCTTTAGGAATTCCTCACTATCAAATGCAAAGTCATCCGAGAGGACTTTTAAGTAGAGTGACTTGCCAAATAGCGAATAAGGCCCCTCCATCAATGCTTTACCTCTTGCCTCCTCACTCTTAAACTTGAAGATAACCCAACCTCGATCATGTTGCCTAATATGGCATTGGACTCCCCATTTAGCAACAAGCTCTTGTATGGGCCTTATACCGGGGAATCTCCCGGCAAAGTAGCCTACCAAACAAAACCCCCATAAGTCAGTAATAGATGGCATGATCCTTTTTGACAAGTCAATAAACTCACCAACCGGTTCAATGTATCTCAATTTCATGCCTTTGCTTGGTTCCCTATTATCTTTGAAAAGTGAAGCAAATGGTTGTTTAGGCACTGTCTCCTTCAAGCTAAGAGGATTTGTCACCATCGAGTTCCCCAGTGCCGCAGCATAGGCATCAATGTTAGCCATCGGGTCATGTTGGTTCTCCACATTACTAGTATGCACGGTTTTCACAGTATGTTCAACAACAATTTCCATAATAGGTTCATTCACCTCTCTGCTATGATCAATAGTTTTCACAACAACATGATTCTTTATAAGAGGTGAAGAGTTTACCTCACCTCCTTCTTCTAACACCTTTTCCAGTTTGGACGAATCTTCCGCCTCACACGTTTGGATTTCGTCCTCAAACTCCGAATCACTTATTTGGTCCATAGCCGAGATTGCATCCTCCATTTCCCTTGCTTGAGCTTTTGCCTTAAGTCTTGATGATGATTTTGTAGGTTGTAGCACTTCCTTCTTTTTCTCCTTCTTGCCCGTGATCTTGGGCATGATGGATAGACCAGCTAACAAACCATGGAAGGGGAAGCTAATAGTAGCAACCCCTCCTAAACAAGGTTACGCTTGAAGTACCTTGTTTTTGAGCTTAGAATCCGTATCAATGGAGTCTGGAGTGAACAGTAGCTAGATGTACGGATTACCTTGATGATGGAATAGAGTTGATATGCTTGATCCCCACCCTTAGGACAAGCTAAAACCAAGCCCCAATCCAAAATCAAGTGAGTAAATAATGAGTTTTATGTGTTGACCTTCGTAGGTGAGCAGTAGCTAGGAGAATACGATTTCAGTTTCTTGACCAAAACTCTCAGGACAGAGCTAAAAAATTAGAAATATTACTCTCCAAGGAAGACTTGAAGGTAATATGACTAATATCCAAGCTCAAAACAAGAGATCAATGGAGAAGATTACCAAAAGAAGTGATAAATCTGTTGGGAAGAAACAAACCACGAGGGGTTCGCGAGAGACAGCTCTCAACGTCTCAACAGATCACCTTTTTTTCTTTCTTTTGATGCCGTGTTGCATATTTCGCAGTGTGTTTGACGGAAAAGAGCATATTTTTTATATTGTATTCCAAAAAGTGCAATTTTTTTGACGTTTTCTGAGAGAGTGCAAAACGGAGTTGGCAGATCCGAATTCAGCTTGTCAGTACGAAACTGGTTTTCAGAGTTACCAAGCTCGAAAATGGACTCCGAAAAATATGGTGGGAGGCCATTTTCGGAGTTGGCAAAGCCGAAAGTAGGAGTACTTTTTTTTGTTGCCTACGAATTGTTTGTTTTTGTGTTTTGAACTTTTTTTTTATAATTCTTGTTCTAAAACATATTTTGTTCAACATAATTAAAAATCATACAATATTTGTATTTTAAGTTGAATTTGCGTCTTATTCCCGATTTAGATAAAAACATGCGTTTTACAAAAATTTGACCCATTAAAATAAATTAGCACACATTTTACAAAAGTGACTCATTAAATGTTTTGAGCACAAATAGTAAAAAATTTGTTACATTTACATTAACAAAATAATTTTTTGAACGTAATTCAGATTAAAAAACCGTACCCATTAAATAATGTGAACCCCGGAAAAGATGATTAAAAGTATCAATATGTTAATATATTTACAAGAACAAACTACATTGATTAAAAGTATCAATATATTAAATCAATGTGACGATTTTTAAAAATAGTTGACCCATTCAGTGTTATGAACTCCAAAGTAAATACAAATACAGTTTACAATATAACACGTTTAATTTATAAGTGACCCATAAAGTCATACGAATTCAAAATTAAACAAAGTTCATTGCACAATAAGTCATATTAAAGGTACACATAAAACATATGGCTAATAAATATTTTACAACATTAAAACAAAGTACAAAAAAAGATAACATTATAAGAGTACAAATACAAATCAATCATAGTGTCCTCTCCGTCTTGGACGCATATCCATCTCATTTGGAAATCTTGTTTCTTGATGGCGCCCAGCTCGAGAAGTTCTGGAAGAGTACTTAGGCGGTAGAAGAATGAACTCATTTTGTGGACACTCATTCATATTCGGAAATGGCATGATATCACTGGAATGTGCATTTATGTAAGAACTCAGTTTGTATACCTCAGGAATAAGATAATCAACACGGCAATTTAGAAAATGGCACACAGAATGTGCATGGACGCATGGCATTCCGTTCATCCTCCAACAACCGCAGTCACAAACACGTCTGGATAGATTCACCGTAACAGGTGTTGCATTTTCTATGGAGACCGAGTAAATTCCTGTGTAATGGTTGTGTGGAAGAACCACAGTGCGAGGTCTTTGTTGCCAACGCTCCATAAGCTCTTTCCGAATGTTGTCCGGAAAATGATATCCAGCTTGTTGCCACATCAGTACGACGTTGGGCGAAGAGCTGGACTAGTTTGTCAAAAGTCGCTCGCACAAGGGCACTGATTGGCAATGTCCTACATCGTTTGAGAGCATTGTTGAAACTTTCTGAAAGATTTGTCGTTAAAATACCATATCGACAACCACCATCAAAACAAAGTGCCCACTTTTCTTGAGGAATGTCATTTAAATACTTGAAAGCTCTCTCGTTAGTACCCCGAATTTGTTGCATGTACTGATGAAATTCACTTACAATTGGGGTACTTTCCGCCTGCCAACACAATTTCTTTAGTTGTTTACTTCTAAATTGGGTCATGAAATTGCTTCTAATGTGGCGAAGACAATAACGTCTCTGAATTCGAGGTGTTCCCAATTGTTCCACATTTCGAAATGCATAATCTATAGCCGCATGCCTATCGGAGATGATGCAAACATTTCGATCAGTGAGTATGATATGTGTCACAAGCAATTGTAAGAACCACTTCCAACTAGCACCATTCTCACTATCTACCACTCCAAATGCTAGAGGGTAGATTTCACGGTTGGCATTCATTGCCACCGCGATTAGGAGATGACCCTTGTACTTGCCATACAAGTGAGTTCCATCAATTGACACCACCGGAAGACAGTGATTGAAGCCGTCAATCGCCGCTTTTATTGACCAAAATGCAAATTTAAACTCATATGTTCCTTGGGTGTTGGTGTTATCACTTTGAATATCAATTATGCTCCCTGGGTTAGTATACGCCACTGCTTGTAAGACATTTGGAAGATCGTTGTACGATGTCTCCCAATTACCGAACCGTTGCTCCAATGCTAATATACGCGCATACCATGCTTTCTTATATCCAACACGAATGTTATACTTTTGGTGTATGTCATTCATTATTAGCTTAATACTATAGTCTGGTTTTATGCGAATCGTAGAACTTATTTCAGAAGCGATGAACTTACTTGTAAGCAGTTTGTCGATTTTGGCTCTTGTGTAAGTCGGAATGCAATTATGGCGGGGTTGATACTGATTTACTTTCCAAGAGTCAGTGTCCTTCACTTGTGCTGCTTGAATGTGCCATGAACATTGCTCTGGATGGACGCATTTGGCCCTCCAGTATGTAGGACGTTTTGACACATTCTCGAATGCTCGGTACTCTTTCAAGGTTTGAATAGAGACTGCTTTTTTGAGTTCGTCAAACGAAGCATATATCCTTCCCACATGTATTGGATCTTCCACACGGTAGGCGGGTTCAACAAACGGATCCTCTTGGTTGTGTGGCACAGCCCAAGACGAGTCATGACTATCATCACTATCATCGGAAGCGCTCTCCTCTTCCGAAAATGAAAGATTGTTGTAGTCAGGGTCATCTTCATCCTCCACGGCCTCATGTGAGGAATCCATATGGACCATTGAAGGACCTTGATTTAATGTAGATGGCATCGGGTTGCGCCGCCGCCTAGAGGGGCCTTCGTGCAATGGAATAACCACATCCCTATTGGTTGCATCAATGAATACCTCCAAACGATTATATACGTTCGAAACTATTTGGACAAAATAGATCCACGACGGCTCATCATGTATGGGCCACGGCATAGATGCACACACACCATCTCTAGTATCAAAAGGAAATTTTCCGTGAATGGTTTTAATTTCATTTAAACCATCACGAGAAATCTGAGAAAGTACATTCTCACACAATGTTGAGTAGCTAACATCGGCGTTTAAAAAAAGCACCGCATTCGGAAATGAAGAGTATTTGACTTCGTTGTCAACATTGGTCAATACCCCATTCCAATGAACGAGAACTATTATGTTCTGCTCACTTGACATTTTTATTTGTGGAGGAAGTGAAAAAAATGAGAGTTATAAGTGATAGAAATGAGAGATATGAGTGGTAAGAATTAGTGTGTGAAGTGTTGTTTTTATAGTGAGTGTTAGCAGCAGGAGGGTGAATTATTGGGGTGGTTGATAATAATGAAGTATACCTCATCTTCCGTGATCCGATCTAGTTGGTCCATGTATATCCGTAACGAAAATCTTCCGTGATCCGATCTAGTTGGTCCATGTATATCCGTAACGAAAATCTGTTTGTTTGTTGTCAATCATGATGACATGCCCACCTACATTTAGTTTCCAATAATAATAATATAATTACATAAATAGCATAGATTAAGAACATAAATATACAAATATCAATTAGTTTATTTATATTATTACACCTAGCAGCATATGGGAAATCTAAAATACTCTCCAAAGGGAGATGACCTTGTGGGCAAAACATCGGCAACCTTTCCCATGCCCAAATTTGTAAAAGGATTAAACATCCTCCAATCTGTTTAGCCTTGGCCTTGGCCGCCTTACACATGGTATGATACAGATAGGCCAAGACTGCTGAGCCCCAGCTCCATCGGCGCAATTCTGCTAAGTTGCCCTGCAACAACTCCAAGAAGTACCAGCTCGCCATGTTCCCACTAGTGGTAGGGAATAACGAACCGCCTAACAACTGCCAAATGAGGGCTCTGGTGTGTTGAGTCACCTCGTTCTCAGTGCTCCATTCAGTTAATCAGATGCGGTGGATATTCGGTACTTTTATGGTGGGTGAATTTAAATCCTCATCTATTGGTATAAAACCAACAGAATCTGCACACATCTGCAATAACGCTGCCTTCTCAGTAATCGTAGGACCAGTGAGTGGTATGCCGTCAACAGGCAACCCCAACAACACTTGTACGTCCTGCAAGGTCAGGCCTACCTCACCAAAGGGCAAATGAAATGCATGTACCTCGGGTCTCCACCTCTCCACTAACGCAGTCACAAGAGGCCAATCTAACTGCAATTGTCCTATTCTCTCCACACCATGAAACCCCGATATTCTCAGCAACTGTACCACCCCAGAATGACGCGGACCCTCCTCAACGTAGGCTTCTCTCGAATAGTGCTGGCATTTCAGTTTGACGTCACGAAATGATGATTCATGTCACACACGATCTGCACGATGCTCATCGGGTAGCATAAATAACACTGAACGATCCTGAGGTCCTGGTTGTGCAACTCGTTCGGCCATAACAAACCTACAATTAACAAGCAAACATAAACTAATTTTTTTTACATGTTTTTAAGTCATTCATTAAATGTGTTTAAAAATTTTATGTAGTTTAACATTAAAACTAACGTTATATTTTGATGTGTCCACTATTATTTTATAACTACTTAAATATTAATATGAATTATATATTTACCAATACAACTTATGAATTTATTAAATATTTTATATATTTTTTAACAACTAAAATGTAGTGTGTCATTTTTTCTATTCACCTACTTTTATAGAAATATTAAACCTTTTTCTACAATTATTAATACTAATATAATAATAAAAAAAGATTACTACACTTATTACCTACCTACAACTTACTCCGTAATATCACTGAGTGCGTATTCCGAGATATTTTATCTGATAAAGTGTATTTTTTTATCTGACACGAGACATTATTGGGGTGGTTGGAATTTATGAGGTTAGGTGTGGAGTGGATGAGTGCGTATTCCGAGATATTTTATCTGATCGGGAATATTTTTATCTGATAAAGTTTTTTTATCTGACCGGAGACATTATTGGGGTGGTTGGAAATAATGAGGTTAGGTGTGGAGTGGATGAGTGCGTATTCCGAGATATTTTATCTGATCGGGAATATTTTTATCTGATAAAGTTTTTTTATCTGACCGGAGACATTATTGGGGTGGTTGGAAATAATGAGGTTAGGTGTGGAGTGGATGGGTGCGTATTCCGAGGTATTTTATCTGACCGGAAATATTTTTATCTGATAAAGTGTATTTTTTATCTGACACGAGAAATAGTATGTCATTTTTTCTATTCACCTACTTTTATAGAAATATTAAACCTTTTTCTACAATTATTACTACTAATATAATAATAAAAAAAGATTAGTACATTTATTACCGACGTAAAATTTACTCCGTAATATTTCAAGTCATAAATAAATATATGCACACATTAATAATAGAAATTGTATCTAATTATAAATAATAATAATAATAATAATACTAATAATAATAATAATATTAATAATAATACTAATAATAATAACAATAATGAATAAGGAGGAGGAGGAATAAGTTACTAACCTTTTGAGGGGTTGAGAGGAGGTTGAAGGGGGGCTCGGATGAAGGTATGGGAGGAGGCAGGTGGGGAGGTGAATTTATAACAACAAAACTATCCTCCGATCTGTAGCCAACCAATCACGAAGCCTGGAAATCTAATCCTCTGATTTCGGATTTGGCAGATCCGAAAATAAGAAAGCCTGACGCAACTCTGTTTCGGAGTTCAGAAATCCGAAATCAATAAAGTTGTTTTTGACCACTTTTTATTTTCGGAGTTGGGAACTCCGTTTTGGCTTTTTTTGTCAAAAAAATTGGATATGTCTTATTTGGAAACCCCTATTACAAACATGCTCTGTTTCGTCATTTCCTCTATTTCGCATGTGAGAGTAGCCGAACATGTTTCGTCATTTCCTCTATTTCGCATGTGAGAGTCGCTACTTCGTTGGTTTATCATATGTTAAATAGTTTTAATCTGACCTTAATTTCGGGGTAATTTTTTTTATTTAGCATTGATTACGAAAAAAACTCTATAATTTTTTATTTTATTTATTAATAACAAATATTTTAAATATAATTTTTTCATGAATCAACAGAATCAACCAATACAGTCACTTCATCCAGAACTTCATAAATTTTGACAGAGTCAGCTAATACAATCAATTTTAGTGTTACCAAACGGGCTCTTTATGTAAATAAGGGGGGTGTTTGGAACTGATTCCGCTTCTGTCTCTTTTTTAAAAGTAGAAGCAGAATCAGAATCAGTTTTTTGAAGCTGGTCACCCCCAGCTTCTAAAAAACTGATTCTAGAAGTAAAATTGAGTACCATAATCACTTCTGCACTTTTATCCAAGCACTCCAACTTCTGCTTCTGCTCCTTAAAGGAGCAGAAGCAGTTTTAAGAATAAGATCCAAACACCCCAAGGTATTAGACCAATTTGGCAATTCTATTGAATAAATTTTATGTAGACAGGGCCAGAAGCATTGAAAAGATGTCTAAAGCCCAATGGTTTAGACCTTAATTGTACATTTCGGTAAGCAGATCATCCGGATCCACTGGGTGAGAGCTTCCGTTTCTGAAGCCCAAAAATGGCTACTTCAGTCTCCAGAACCATCTTTCTCCTTCGTTCAATCACTCATCAACATAGAGCCCCCTATCTATCTCCACTATCCAAATCTCGAATCCCTTGTTTGTTTGCCCACAAACCCAAGGTCCCTACTCCTTGAACCCATTATATTTTGTCTCCAATCATTTCTTCTTAGAAGTTAACACGACCAGTTTTTTGTTTAAATTTGCAGGTTCAGATTAGCCGCTTGTTTGCATCTTCATTGATGGCTTCCGGGTCGAAAGAGTCTCCTTCCAATAACCCGGGCCTTCAGGCTACCCCTGATGATGCCACCAAAGGTTACCTCTTGCAGCAAACTGTAAGCCCACTCCAATTATTTGGCTTATGTACATTGTCATCAAACCAGTAAATTTTTGTGTATTACTCTTGTTTAACAAGCTTTATTATTTTATCAACGCGCTACTGTAGTTGATTGCATTACCTGAAGAGCCAAAAATTTAGTATTATATTTGACTTGGCAATTGGCATGCTTATTGAAAAAGTAAAATTGAATGGTTGTGGACTTGTGGTTGATGTAAAAAAGATAGAAACAATATCAGCCGCTTAAATCTTTGAAATTAAAAGATCATTTTGGGGCATCCCTATAAAGAAATTTGGAAAAAAAATATGGGATAGAGAGAGTACTATTTTATTTAGTTTATTAAAACGAATACATTTAAAAAAAATCAAAGACACTTTAAATAAAATTCAGCTCATCAAGCAATTCAACCACATTATTAGCATAATTAATAGTTTCCACCTAATTTTCCTCGCTGAACATGGTCAATATGTTATTCACTATATTTATTGATTTTCCGTTATTCTGCTACAAAATACTACCCTCTGTCCTCTTAACTTTGGTACAATAGGAGGTGGTGCAGTTACCAAGAAAAGTGTTTATGTGGTTGATATAGAATTCATAAAGTGAGAATAAAGTAAGAATGATTTAGAACCATATAAATATTATCAAGTTTCTTTTCCATCATTTTCAATGGAGCCAAAGACTCCATAGGAATATGATGAAATAAAGCAAAATGGCTCATTAAACTGTCTGCGCTTCTTTGTTAAGAAGTAACAGTCAGTCTATTCAATTTTCGACGCGATTTTAACTATGGGTCATTCAGAAACAGTCTCTCTGTGCTTTAGTATAGGGGTAAGATTGCGTACATCCGACCCCCCTTATCCCACCGTAGGTGGGAGCCTTTGCGGCACTGGGGTAATGATGATGATGATGAAACATTATCAACTTTCGTATTGGACAATCTTAGTGGGACTAACCAAAAAGGAAAGATGAGACAATCTTAGCAGGATGGAGGGAGTAATAGCTAGTGTCTTCCTAAATTGTAGCTAAAATCTGACAAGTTCTAAGAATTTATTACATTACATTTTTCCAGCACACCAGGAACTGTAGGTATAGAAAGCATCGTATTGTAATGCCCATACCAAAAATATGTTTTTTTTTTCATTTTTTGCTCCACTCTTGCTTGTTTGCCGTTTTCACCTGTTGGACTAACCGATCAAGAAATCACATAATGTTGACATATTCCTTTAATTTTAATGATATCAGATGTTCAGGATTAAGGACCCAAAAGTCAGTCTTGAGTTCTACTCCAAAGTGTTGGGCATGTCGTAAGTCCTCTTATTGCCTTTCCCTTTGACTTCCTGCTGTCCTGTGTGCTTAGGATTATGTTCAGCCTAATGGGGACTTTTAATTGCCCATACTGTTCAATTCAGTTGTATAACTTTATTCTATTTGATTGTTGTGATTATAGATTGTTGAAGAGATTGGATTTTCCAGAGATGAAATTTAGCCTATATTTCATGGGATATGAGGTGAAGAACATAACCAATTTTGCGCAACCAATTTGAGGTGTGATTACGAGCTTATATTGATTTTCTGCAATTAATGGTTTAGGACACATCATCAGCTCCCACTGATCCAGCTGATCGTGTTGCTTGGACTTTTGGTCAAAAAGCTACTCTAGAGCTTACACAGTAAGCATCACTTTTCTTTAAGGGTGTATTTGGTTCAAAGGGAGGGAGTGGAGGGGAGGATGAAATTTTGTCCTAAAGATGGAAATTATATCCTGTTCGTTGGACAACCGTATTGAACTGCTTCGGTCAAACAAAGAAAAGTGCATTGACTGGGTAACAAGCACAAGACAAGGAACAACTATTATGTTTTTATGGCTAACGAGGGAGAGTGTGGTTCTATATATAACTGCCTCAATACCCATCTGCCCCAGTACGAGTATATGTTTTTGGCTACCAATACCATTAGTCCATTACCCACACCATTTACCATCCAATCCATTTGAATAATATAGTAAACTAATAAATGATTATCAATGTTATATTTAAATATGTGTAGGGCTACAATTAATGTTGTGGTTAGAATTCTATACACATAAAGCCCCATGCCTCATTGTTGCCTGATTACCACATCAATTATTTTGGGTACCAATACTGTTATCTGCACCATTAACATTTCAACTCATTTTATTAATATTATAAATTAGTAAATTATTACTCCCTCCACCCCCTATCTTTTTCTTATTTTACCTTTTTCGTCCGTCCCACTTAGTTCGTATAGAATTTACCATGTTTGGTAAAATTTGGGTGATTACAATTCATTCTTACTTTATTTACTTTTTATCAATTTAACATCAAGCTCACAATTTCATTTTTCTTAATAACTGCACGGCTGCACCACTTCCTTTTGTCCCAAATTCCCAATGTTGGAGGGACGCAGGTAGTATAATTTATCTATATGCGCACACACATACATGCGTGTGTGGATGGATTTGAACTCAGTACATGAGTAATTGCACACAAAGACACACATATACCTGCATCTTTTTTCATTTTAAAAAAAATGCAGGTATATGTTGTTAAAGCACAAAGAACTAAAGCAAAGATAAACAGCAATCAAGCAAGAGCACAAGACAACGATATATGTGGTTCGATCAGTATGATCTACATCCACAAGGGGTGTTGGGAAGTCTTATTAACCCGCAGTACTAACATATAGTGGCTGAAGTAGTATATCTAAGAAATACAAAGGGGCCACAGGCCATAACAAATGGGCCTAAACAGAACCTAAAACGCAAATGGGCCTAGCCCAGCGAGAACGGGTTTCACCCAACAATTCTCCCACTTGAAAACTGTTCACAGCACACACCCAATGTCCAACAAACACAGATTATTAAAACTCCACATATCAGTGTCTTTGTGTGCAATTACTCATGTACCGAGTTCAAAGACACACATATACCTGCATATATAAAAAATATACTGGCATATATAAATCTCTATTTTTATATGATTTCGAAAGTCAAGTATATAATCTTTAATGATCATAAATTTTATCCATTGAAACAATCATTACCTAGGCATACCTTATACTTGTCGTGGAGGCTATGATTTGAATAAAATAAGCTGTTGCATACTGGGGTGAACATGCTTAGACATAAATACATAAGTACATAACCGTCACAGATCCACCTTGTTGTCATCTCTATTATGGTCTTCTTCATAACTAATATTTCAAAACAAACATGGTGAAATGAGATGGTTCCCTCCTTCAACCAAACACACCCTAAGTCACCCAGCATTGTTATCACAAGTTTGCATCTGCCAACAGGCAAATTTTCCTTGTAGTAATTGGGGTACTGAGAGCGATCCAAATTTCAAGGGTTACCACAATGGAAATACAGAGCCTCGTGGATTTGGTAAGGAATTGACATTTCATATATCTTATATCTTAAGTTTTAAGTATATGTTTTGTGTATTTTTTCTGCATGTATGTGTCTTATTTTACTCTTAAAAAGAAAAGTACGTAACACACACAAGCTTGTGTGTGTGTGTGTCTGTTCTTGTTTAACTTTTTTTACCTTTATATTTTGAATATTTCATGTGGACTGCCAGTTAATTTGTCACCTGCTATGATTAACTTTTGGATTAATTTTTTCTCTGCTTCCAGGACACATAGGTATTACTGTTGATGATGTATACAAGGCCTGTGAGAGATTTGAGAAACTGGGTGTGGAATTTGTAAAGAGACCCACTGATGGTAATCTTGCCTCCATAATTTCTTTGGGCCGGTTTAGATTACTGTTTTGCACTAGCAGCAACAACAATCTTACCCCAATGTCGTAAAAGATCCCATCTATGGTGGGATAAGGGGGGTTGGATTTAAGCAGTCTTACCCCTGTGCTAAGCACAAAGAGACTGTTTCCGGATGACCCATGATGAAAATCGTGTCAAAAATTGCTGACTGCTACTTAATAACAAAAAGGCACAGACAGTTAAGTGGGTCATTTTGCTTTATTCCATCACATTCCAAAGCCAACTACCGTTATGCACTAACAATGAAGTTAAAAATTGAATGTGGATGGACACTAATGTGTGTTCTCTCACACTTAAATATATGTCAACAGTATCGTCTCCAAAGAAACGGAAAAAGATAGTTAAGTGTTAGTTAATTTCAGCAATCAAATTAAATAAATAAAATGCGAATTGTGCGAGATTAATTTTTGAAATAAATTGCAGTGGAAGAGAATTAAATTAATTGGTTCTAACGAATTCATGACAAAAAGGTAATAGGGATTAGTTTCAGGGTGACTAGACTTCAGGAGTGATAAGACTAATTCAATTCTAGTCCGTATTTCAAGCTATATGGTTCTGCTCCAGATTACTTCTTCCTTAAAGTTTTTGGTTGCTCTTGTTATCCATTCACTCATCCATATAACAATCATAAAATGGATTTTCATTCTGAAGAATGTGTCTGTATAGGCTATTCCTCCAGCCACAAAGGCTATAAATGTCTCTCTCCTTCTGGAAAAATTTATCTCTCTCGAGATGTTATCTTTCATGAATCCAAATTTTCTTACTCTACTCTCTTTTCTTCTACAACCTCTATGTCACCCAGTGTTGTCAATCCCGGGTAGCAGAGCGTAGCGGCCAGCCCTGAAAATGCTATAGCGGTATAGCGGATAGCGGGATGACCGCTATTCAGACTACTTTTAAGTATAATACATGATGAACTAGAAGCATATAATTACATTACACACACATTAGTAAAGTGTGATATATGTCATTGAAAGTTGCAAACATCTTCACATTTTTAAATCCTAAATTACTGGGAAATATTCCTTAATTTCATGAGCAAAACATACAATGCTATTAATGATTAAAACATCTTAAGTTAAAACATTGAATCAAAAACGAGTTCCTGGTTTAAGCCTTGGTAAATTAATAGTCTATCAGTCTACCACTGGAAAAAAATAAAGAGGAGTGTAGCATGTGTCGTTCTTGTACAAAATGGAGGACAGGTCGTTCTTGAAAAAATGGAGTGAAGATCGCTCTTGAAAAAGATGGAGCAGAAATTTTGTTGAAGCAAAGGTCATCGCAGAGCAGAGAGAATGTTGCTTACTTGTGCGTTTTTAAGGGTTCTACACTTCTGCGTATATGTACAACGGTTTTAGGTTGCTTACTATTAAGTTTTAAAAGTCTACTTTACCCCTGTCAATCTGCAGTCAATGAATAAACGCAGAAAATCCCTAGCAGACCTTCGATCGCAAAAAGCGTTGCTATAGTGTCGCCTCTCTACTTGTATAGCGCCCACTATAGGCTATAGCGCCCTCTATATCCGCTACACCCAAACGCCCCGCTACAGTAGGTCTAGTAGTGCCAGACCTCTCCTCCGCTCTGCTCGACCGCTATAGCGTTTGATTAACATTACTGATGTCACCTACTGTTCCCACCTCCATTTTTGCTCCTATATCTGTTGTTCATCCATCCCATTCACCAATCTTCACTAACTCTTCTTTCTATCCTTCTACTGAACCTTCCTCTTCAGCTTCTAATGAACAATCTCAATCTGCTTCTAATGAGCAATCTCAATCTGCTTCTCATGAATCATCAGTTCCATTACCTCCCTCTCCTCCCTCTCCTGGTATCTTAACCACTCCTATCGAACAATTTTCTTTATTACCTCTCCACTTTCTTTAGTTCGCTTGGCTAACACTCATTCTATGAGAACACGAGCCAAATCAGGAATTGTAAAACCAAAACTAAATCCTACCTTACTGTAAGCTCATACTGAGCCCAAATCACTTAACAGGCTCTCTTTTCTCCTCAGTGGTTTGAAGCTATGAAATCTGAATATAATGCTTTGCTCTCTAACAAGTAACAATACTTGGTCTCTTGTGTCTCTGCCTTCAGATAAACAAGCTATTGGCTTTATAGGTTAAAGAGAAACCAGATGGCTCTTTAAACAAGTATAAGGCCAGATTGGTAGCAAAGGAATTTCATCAAAGATTTGGTTTTGATAGGAACCCCAAGAATCCAGAACAATTAAACAGAAAGATTAACAATGAAACAATCTGAAAATCTTTATTGAAGAGGAAGATCGATTACAGGAGAAAAGTAACAAGGCCGAAGCCCCCAGATGAGCCGAAGCCCCCAAAGAGAGAGAAATAATTCTCAATCTTCCCAGTCCCAAGACCTAAGTCCAAAAGCCTCCTCTACTACTCCCCCTCCTCATCTATTTATAATAGAGACCCTTATTACTAATATTATTATTATTACTTCTATTATTAATATAACACTATTAGTGTTACACTAATGGGTAGGTCCCTAACAATACTCCCCCCCTAAACATCCACCTTGCCTTCAAGGTGGGCGGAAGGAGACAACCAAAATCATCTCTTTCTTTTTCTTCCTTGCACCTCTTCCTTCCCAATATCTTTCAAATTTCAGGATCCTAAACTCCATGACTTGAATCTTCCTTCTCACTGCTTCTTGCAAAAACCCTTAATGTTTTTGCTTTGGAGAAACATTTACTCCAGTTGTTAAACTTGTCACTATTAGAATCCTCCTTACACTTGATGTTTCAAATAAATGGTCAATTCAGCAACTTGATGTCAACAATGCTTTCTTAAATGGAGAGTTTGATGAAGAAGTCTGTATGGTGCAGCACTGCAGCCCCCAGATTTTGAAGTGGAAAATACTTCTTTGGTCCGTAAACTCCACAAGTCCCTATATGGCCTCAAACAAGCTCCTAGAGCTTGGTTTCTTAAGCTCACTTCATTTCTATACAGTGCTGGTTTTAAACAAAGTGTGATCCCTCTTTGTTTATTTTTCTGTCCTCTGGAGTTCAATTATATATATTGATATATATTGATGATATATTAGTAATTGGAAATAACTCTACTACCATAGATTAGCTTATTGGGCATAGAGGCACACAAACTATCTGATGGCAGCTTACACCTCTCCCAAGCTAAGTATATAAGAGATATACTTAATCAAGTTGGTATGCTATCATCTAAGGGAGTCAAAACACCCATGGTCAATACTTGTAAACTTACCTATGAAGGCAGTAACTATCTTCATAATCCTTTCTACCTATGAAGGCAGTAACTATCTTCATAATCCTTTCTATTACATATCTATAGTTGTAGTCTTGCAGTATGCCACTCTAATCAAACCTAAGATCTGTTATGCTGTTAACAAAGTGTGTCAGTTTATGGCTGCAGTTAAGCATATTCTCATATACTCCCTCCGTCCCGAAAAGGTTGGCCAAAGTTGACTTTCACGTGGATTAATAAAGTAAAAACTGTGTGGTTGAAATTTGTGCAGAGGAGAGAGAATTCACTTTAGCCACATATTCCTTTAAATGGAAATGACAAATCTTTTTGGGACATCCAAAAAGGAAATTTGGCCAACCTTTTCGGGATGGAGGGAGTCTTTCTGGCACCATTACATCAAATATATGGAACTTGATCTCTTCTTTGTTCATTAAAAGGTTCATTTGAAGCAGCTTAAAGTCTACCACATTCCTGCTCTTCATCAACTTGCTGATATATTAACTGAACCTCTTTCTGGCTCCAGCTTTCTTGACCTAAGAACCAAACTTAGTGTGATTGACATTTCACATCAATCACCCTAACTTTGAGGGGATGTTAAATATACACTTTTTAATATACTAATAGTTGATTATAGCTTCGGTTAGGTTTGTTTAGTTTGTTGTGACTTAACTGACTCTAATTATTCTGTATGGTAGCTCATATCATCAATAAGATCATTCATATCAATATCTTTATTCTCTATTCGTATTCCATTATTTATGAGTTACTATTGATTATTGAATACTGATGCATTCAACCTAGTTCCTTTTAATCTCTATTTTTTGTATCAAATAAAACTCCAGCAAAGTGCTAAAAGAGTATGTGAAAAAAACATAAACATTTTCATTGTTTACCTTTTTGTTTTTTCATATCTAAAAGACACTCCTTGCAGGAAAAATGAAGAGTATAGCATTCATCAAAGATCCTGATGGGTATTGGATAGAGATCTTTGATACTATTTCTATCAAGGAGGCTACATCTGATGCTGCTTGATTCGCCACCTTCTGCATTTCAGGCAACCAATCTTCATTCATTAATCTGCATGCCTTCCCTTCCATAATCCGGGAGAGTCCTTATGAGTTATGACCTCCACTTTCATTCACACTGGTTGAAGAATTATTCTTCTTCTTTATTTTGCAGGAGTAAGAGTTGAATAATCAATTCCCAGACTTGTTTGTTAGTTGTCACTGTTATCTTGAATGGGAAGAGTGGAGATATTTGAATAACATCAGGATATGTTTGAATGGACCAGATGAACCGTGGAGAAATTACCGCTTACCTGCCTTATTTGGGGCAAAAGTTTACGTAGGTGTAACTTTGTAAGTGTGATCTGTGATGAGGAATTGGAGGAAGGACCATATGAATATATTACTCCCCTTTCAAGATGAGAGATTTTTAAGCTCAACATTCTCTGATGTAAAAGTTTTTTAAGAAAAAAGGAAGAACTACCAAATATACCCTACTTATTACTCCAATACTGCAGTCAACTAAACCCTCAACATTCCAAATGACGATTTATCCGGTGAATAATAGGCTTTCCGGTGAAGATGTTTGCAATTTTGCATGGCATTCATCAATTCTTATTCTTTTCCCCCCTTCTCCCCCAATTCTTTTCCCTTTGAATATAAATGAGCTCGTGTCTCACCTGATTTGCGAGATGCCGAGACTTATGTGCGGCGCGGCGTAGTGTACAGGTGGTTTTTAAGTTTAATTTATTTTTTCTTTCCTTCTTGAGTTTTTTTTCAAAATATTATCGATATAATATTTTTTTGCAAAAAAATGACTAACAGTTATGTACGGAGTAGTATACTATAGCCTTATATAGTAGTGTAAAATTAAACATAAGATATACTCCGTACTATGGTAGAGGGCTGAAATATACTGCACATTATATGTGCGCAAAATGTGTCATATATTTCAAGAATTTATTTGACTGTCTTCCCGATCGAATTTTGAGTTGAAATTTGGTATGGATAAACTAGACTTGATGAAGAACATACTAAAAAAAATTCATCAAAAAATTCCACCCGGAAGGGCCTCTAATGGCTTTGTCTGTAGTCTGTACGGAGCCCCCGTACATCCATATGTATTTGTTACATTTACAAAGTCACTTTGTAAATAACATTTATTTTAGTCATATACGTAGAACATATACAATTACTACCTCCGTCCCACTAAGATTGGGACAAGAGAAGGTGACACGATTATTAAGAAAAGTGGGTTTGTGTGGTTGATATTAAATTGATTAAGTAAGAATAAAGTAAGAATGGTTTAGAGTCACACAAACTTTACCAAATTTGGTATGGGACAATCTTAGTGGGACTTCCCGAAAAGGTAAAATGAGACAATTTTAGCGGGACGGAGGGAGTATTTCTCTTTTCCCTTTTACGCTTACACTACTTTTCTATAGTCCATTTTCTTACTCCTTATCAAGACCTTTCTTCTCGGAAGCATTTTTCGTTGTCCCATATTCATTGTTTTTCTTTTTCATTTTTCTCATCTTTTTGCTCTATCTTCTCTATCTATTTCTTTTTCATTTTCTTCTGTCTCTTTTTCATACAAACTTTTTGCTTCTCTGTAAAATCAAAATAAATTTTGTTAGATCTAACAAGTATTAGACTCCATGGCAAAAACTTCGAATCACCAGTTCACCACTAAGTTCGAACAAGTTTTAGGTCTAATCATTTTTATGATATGTTTATATCAACACTGTCCAAATCATCTTCTCTATCATGTGATAAGAACAACCAAATAAAATAAAAAAAGAGAAAGAAGATACATCAAAATCTCCATGGAAGGAGATGTAAATGTACAAAAAAATATACTCCCTCTGTCCCTGAATTTAGTTCCATTTCTCTTTTCGAGAGTCAACTTAAATCATTCTTAAACTCTTACTTTTTGTATCAAAACTTTATGAAAATTGATTTTTTTTCAGGCTTTGTAGCGGGTTTAATGTAGTTTCTGAATATGTAAATTTTATTTACTAAAAATAATCTGAGTTTTCACAGGGATTATTTAACTTTATCGTCTTTCAACCTTCGTAATCCGCAATTGGAACAACATTCTGAGACGGAGGGAGTACAAAAGTAAGAAAATAGATTTTTTTAAAAAAAATGGAAATGTCAGCAAATAGTAATATTCTTAGAAAAGCAACATGTTAAAACTAATAAAATACAAAGCAAAATACGGAGTAACTGATACGGAGTATTAGATACTATCTTGTGTTTCTTTTTAGTCCCAACATGTTGAATTTTATATTATTCACATATATGCTCTACTTTGACTATATTTTATTTATGTTTAAATTCCTTAATTCTTCCAATTACAAGTTTTTAATATTTATTTTATTTTTTATTTTTTACTAGTAAATAATTAAATACATTCAAAGTAAAAATTGAGTGTTGGCAAAAGTGATATAACATGAAAATAATCGAGGAATGTATCATACTCATCTACATGGACCACATGCAAAAAACACATATCTTATAAATTTTGTCCCTAATTCATTAAATTTTAATAATATAATTTAACTGTTCATATTCCGTATTAATTTAAATGAATCTGACGTCTCTGCCTGGGTTAAGCAGCCAAGGAGGGTGCCTGGCTGTTTTCATCCATCAGATCAAAAAATGAAGGATTGAAGATGAAGGGCTCCATTTTTTGCACGAATCTCGAGGCCTGCTTTTCGATCTGTGCCGTCCATTTGAGCAAGGCACTCTGGCACTCTGCCTTAAGGATCCCAATCCAATTTAAATAGCCTTGAGGATGAATTGACCTTGACTCTAGTTAAACATTTTTTATGTGATAAGAATGAGGAGTAAGAACAACGACACAACGTACGTGTGGGTTATGACAGCATATACTCCGTATTTATTACTACGTATTTGCTGGAAAGTGAGATCTAAAAAGACAGCAATATGTTACTGATTATTATATTATTTAGTATGCCTTTTGTTGAATTTATTAATTGAAAAAAATCTGAGCTGAAAGGATGCCAAAATTTTATGCTTCTCTGTTTGGGCATAACCTTCAGACCTTTTAATTATTAGAAATATTATTTAATCTTATTTCTTTTGGGGGTTTCTGTCCTCACGAGTTGACAAAATCACAAATCACACGACTGGCCAAAGAGATTACTGTTCCTCAGTTTTAGCTATATATATTCCACCAACAGGTGTCAGTTTGTCAGCAAGGGTTAACACCACCTTTTGACCTTTTACACTTCAAGAAAAGACATTCTCCCATCATTTTTAAAACTTGTCAAACTTAGTGCCCGTCTGGAGACCTCCTTTTTCGGCTTATCAGGCTTATCAGCCAACTTTTTCACCAAACACGTAACTTTTACTTTCGCGCGCTGGATCGTGTAATAAGCAGAAAAAGTAAGGTTGGAGTTACTTTTCTGGCTGTATTGGCTGAAGTTACTGTAGATGACCAATTTAGCTATTTTTACATATAATTTTTTCTTTGTTTTATTAATAAAATATATTTTTAAAATATTTTTTTCTCGAATCAGCAGAATCAGCCAAAACAGCCACTTCAGCCAGAACTTCATAAATTTCAGCAGAATCAGCCAAAACAGCCGATTTTGGTGCTACCAAACGTACTCTTAATGCTTTTTTATTAAAAAACGGGTCTAATAGATAAAAAACCGAGTAAAAGACTGAGGTTCTGTTTACAATCACTTGTGCTTAAATAAAAACATTTTTTGGGAAAAAGTGATTAGTAGTAAAAGTTGGTAGTGTTTGGTAAAATAAGTGCTTTTTGTGTAATAGAAAAAGTAAAAAGTAGATTCTACACGAAAACCGAGGAAGTAAAAGTTGATAGTGTTTGGGAAAATAAGTGCTTTTTTTCTTAAAAAAAAAGCCAAAATCACTTTTTTTAATTGATTGCAAACAAACCCTGAAAGCTAAAAATTCAATTTATAAGCTTTTAATCATTTATAGTTTATAAAATGCATCAAATTTCTCTATGCGTGAATAAATTTAACAATTTTAAAATTATTTTACTCCCTCCATCCCTAATAACTTTGCCAAGTTTGATCGACACGGGGATTAATAAAGTAAAAATTGTGTGGTTGAAGTTTGTGCAGATGAGATAGAATTAACTGGAACCACAAATTCTTTACTTAAAAAGGAAAGTGACAAAGTTAATAAAACATCCAAAAAAGGAAAGTGGACAAAGTTTTAAGGGACGGGAAATATTATAATCCAAAAGCCTCATATACCATACAACTTTAGCCCATTCATTAAGAATTTAATATTGAGCACTATGTAATTATTAAAATGTGAAATAAAATGAAAATATTATGGCAATGCAATAACACCGATAAGAAATATCATCATGAATATTATTGCTATTTTGTAATATTATTTTGAAAATTACTAAAATTAGTCGTATTGGAACATTAATACTAATATATACGGAGTATGAGTGTATATGTATATTTGTGTGCATGTATACATATTCAAAATAATTAACAATATAAGTTATCATATAAAATAATAGTTAATGTACTTACCAAAAAATAAAAAACATGTTGCGGGAAAGAACTAATAAATTATTTAAATACAAACATACATATATACATATACATCCACACACACATATATATTCCAATGAGAACCGTGCTTAACGTGCAGGGGCGGACGCACAACTTCTATAGTGGGGGCAGCTGCCCCCAATAAGCTCTTAATAGTACCCTATATTATAATAGGAAAAATTGTAATCCATATAATTGCCCCCATTAACAAAAATTAAATGCCCCATAAATCAAGCCCACTAAAATATACTCCGTATAATCTGTATACTTCAGCTCACTGCCCCCTAAAAACATACGGAGTACAATCGTAGTACGGAGTAGCATAGTTTTTTTTTGAAGGAACGGAGTAGCATAGTTGACAATTCAACATTTGTAAGAAAAAATTCGAACTCCCTATACTTAGAACGAAGAGAAAGCAGAACTAGAGGATAATTTGTATGTTGTATCACTTGTATGTATAATTAAATATTTGAGTAAATTGAGTATTATTTGTATGTGTTAGTCTTAATGTGTAATGGTGTTAACACAATTAAACTGTTAAAATTAAAAATCTAAAATTTGTAACAACCTATAAAAGTATTACGATTTAAAAATTAAGAACTTCATATAAAATATAATTTTTACATAGCTATCACTATAGGAGAAGGTTTGAGATATGTAAAGAGACACTTTTTTATCAGATTTTAATGAATAGGTTTTTGAATAAAAAACTTCCTCAACACAGTTACACAGGGAATTTCAAATTCAAATGTGGCTAATAGCTGGTCCTGATATTTTATGAGACCGGGACAGTACAATCATAGTAAGCCTAAACATCAAAAGTTTTTAATTTTTTTAATAAAAACCTATAAATAAAACTAAGCAATTTTTTCTTTCAAATACGAGTATAACACATTAAAAAAAGTAATAAAGCAAGCAAATGGTTAGAAAATTTATATTTAAGTATTTGATAAGTTACACTCAAGAATAATATGCACCTCAATCGGCCTAATGAAATAAGTAGTACAACTATTACTTTCAATAAAAAAAATTGAATCACGGAACA